CAGAGGGAGAAGCAGACCCCCCGCCGAGCAGGGAGCCCGATGCGGGACTTGATCCCAGGCCTCCAGGATCATGACCTGAGCCGAAGGCAGTCGCCCAACCAACTGAGCCACCCAGGCGCCCAGCATGTCCCTTTTCTATCTGGCATACACTGGTAACGAGTGGGAATTCCAGTCTACTACGAGAGCCTAAGATATACCCGGTTGCCTCCACATCTAAAATCCGAGCAATGCATTTGTCAGCTCCTCAAGTATTCCACATCACAATTCAACATTTTCCAAAGGAAAACAACAAATGCCTAAACTGAGAAAGGAAGCAGTCAGGTGGCTATAAGGCTAACACTTCAGACCCATGCTGACTTGGGCATAATTGTGTTACGGGGCAGCCTCGGGAAAGGAGCTGACAGTGTGTGGCCACGGATAAGCCCCTGTGACCCAAGTCCCTCTATGACCGGTTCAAAACCACAAACACAGAACACCAAGGTTTGGAAGAACCAGCTTGTTCTTGTCCACAAAGTTAGTCAAAGGCCTAGTCAACTAGTTCCTCAAGCTGCTTGATCAGCAGATAACTAGACAGTTCCTGTGCTCTTGTTCTCAAGCCAGAGCATAAGTCTGCAGAAAAAAGGGGCTGGGGAAATGAAATGAGGCCCTGCAGGAAAGTGATGACAGCAGCACTAAAAGAAAGGGAAGAACAGCTTGGGGGAAGCACCAAGGGAAAAATCAACTCATGAAACATGCGCTGAAAAATCACTCTCTCAATTGTCCAACTCTTTCAACCTGTCATTAAACACAAGAGCCCCAGAAGCAGCTGCTGGAACACAAAGTGAGTTAATACTGCCTCCCTCAGTGCACCCAGTGTTAAGATTACCCCCCGGGGACCTGTGTACCAGATGCTAACAAGAAAGCCCAGTGTGTGAGGCCACCGTGCCCCTGATTCTGGCCTAGGACAGGTGTGCGGATGAAGTGCACGCAGGAGCTTGCGTCAGCAGAGGATACGCAACAGCTCAAGGTTGGCGGGAACTTCGTTTGGAGCCTGTAACCAAGTCTCAGGGCCCAGGAGCTTGAAAGGGGCAGAAGGCTTGCTACAGGCTCCCGAGTTAGGAACGGGGAAGAAGAGAGGTGCAGCTGGGCCCTGATGGGCCAGGATGGGGTACAAAGCTGGGCTCTCAGCTCCGTCTCTGTCCTCATGTCAACGACACACTTTCCCTTCCTGCACCATACAAATCCTACAGCAACAGGCAGGCGGCATCAGTCAGCCAACAGCTGCTGGGGACGGGGTGGGGGGCAGTGCAGAGGGACACCACCATGCGTCCCAACTTCTCATTTCCAGGGTGAGAAGTGGAGAGGAGAGGCAGCTCGGCGGGCAAAGGCTCCCAGGCCATAAGGGGCAGGACGGCTGCACACTGGCTGGTCTGAGCGGGAAGCCCGGACACCACACTGTGTCCACTTCCACTGTGTTGGGTTTCAGACTGCCCACTGCCTTTCACACATGCTGGTTCACGTAAGGAGGGATACACAACTGAAGAAGTGCCAAAATGACGAGGTGATCCCAGAGGTTAGGCTTTCTGCAGTGAAGCTCCAGGGCTAACCCAGCTCTGTGAACTGTGGGCAGGGGAGGGGAGGGGTGATCCTTGGCCAGGAGCCTTTTGCATTCAGTGGGGCTTCTCTCAACAGATCGCGGTGTACCAGCTGACGGGCAAATGGATCATGTGAGCTGGTTCCCCATGGTAAAATGTTTGGACCAATAAGAAAAATCTGTACACAATTGGAGGCTAATGGAATCCTGGGCAGTCAGCAGCTTTGGGTATTATGGGGAAGCCTCTGAAATGATAGCTATTTGGGGACTGGCTTATTTTTCTGTTTAGTGAACACTGTACAATAAAATCAGATGCAGAACAGACATCGGTGTGGGTTTTAGGTAAGCATGAAACCTACTGATATCAGGGCGTGTTTTACACTGTAAATCATTGTCTGCCCTGTGAACTGCCACAGGTCTGAGGCACTAGAAATAACAGAACCACGAAACGATAGAGCTCAGAGCTAAACAGGGCCTCAAAAGGTTCAGGATGGAGCCTTCAGGCTGGTAAAGATTGATTAGTCACACTTTACAGATACAGCGTCTCAGAAAGGCTGAGTACCCTGCTCCAAGGCACACAACTAAAACTGACTGAGAGACAAGGGGAGAAGGGGCAAGCCTGCTTCTCAGTATAACATGGTGTCAGCTTAGGCCATGTGGTCACAGCTGCGTGGTCCGCTTAGCCCAGAGTGCTGCCTCTGACAAACGTAACAAAAATACAATCCAACACGCCCTGAGAAGCGTGGGCAAGATGGGAACGTGATTTCATCTCCGTGGTGCATTTATTTGTTCAAAGGCTTTGCGTGCGTATGGTTTTGCATTTTCTTCCCCTGTCGTGTATGCTCGATGCAGGGCAGGTGACGAGATGCTATTCTCACTGTTTTACTGATGGGGATGCTGAACGCCCTGAGGGCCAGGCACTACCAGCAGCGGACCCTGAAACACAAGTATACTCTCTTTGCTCGGGGTTTCCAAAGAACACATGACTTCCTCTCCAGTCTGTCTTGTCCTCTGGCCTCCTGGCCCTCACTTCTGTGCAATTAGCCATGATGAAGGGCACAGTAAGCCTTGAGACTCAGTCCTTAAGATCCCAATAGGCCGAAGAATTATTTCCTGGAGAGCAAGGCCAGAGACAGGCTGACCTCCGCACCCTTGTAATGTTTTCACTTGGGGCCACGGCTATCGCCTCTCAGCTGGCGACCCCGCTAACGCCGTTTCCTCTGCAGGACGCAGCCCAATGCTTCCAAAATTCCAGTTTGATCATTTCACTCTCCTGTTCCAAAATGTTCCTTAGTGTCCAGAGTACACCAAGGATTCACCTGCCTGACATTTAAGACCCTTCATGATCCAACCCAATGGTAGCTTTACATTCTTCTAAAATTATAATGATAACAATACCTGAAATAATAATACTGGATCCTTATGAACTTATGAGCCAGGCATTGGGCTAATTGCCTTGCATAGTACCTAGACACTGTTACCAGTATCCACACTTCCCCGGTACCAAAACCTAGATTTTATTCAGTGGCTCATGGGCCTGACACAGACGATGAATCATGATTGCTCTAAGTCAGTGATTCTCAAAGTACAGGCCCAGAACAGCAGCATCATCAGCTGCTGGGAACTTGTTAGAAATGCAAATTCTCAGGCCCCACCCCAGACCTACTGAATCAGAAATTCTGGAGGTGGGGCCCAGCAATCTGTGGTTTAACAAATCCTCTAGGGGATTCTACTGCTTACTCAAGTTGGAAAACCAATGGTCTAAGCCAATCCTGACAATCTGGATCCCCGCTTCCCACATTGGGGGCGGCTTTGTGACTTAGTCTGGGCTCATGAGACCAATGTGCAAAGCGGGGGGAGGGGTATTCTGGGAAAGCTTTTATTTTCTTGGTAAAAAGGAAGAGAGGCATCCCTTGACAATCTCCTTAATAAAAATTGCAAACCTCCACTGTGCCCCAACCTTTACTATCTCCTTACCAACTTTAATTTTTCTTCATCCCACTTAGAGCCTCTTGACTCTACTTGTTTATTGTCTGTTTCCTCCACCAAGATGTACCCAAAAGGGAAGCCCTTTGTCAGTCTTGTTCAGCATGTCCCAATAGCCCAATGAGAACAGTGTCTAGCAAACTGTGCTCAAAAACTTGGTGTGTTTATTGATGAGTAAGTGCAGCTGTCTCTGCTATTCCTCTTCTTTCTTGCTTTGAATGAGGAATTGATGGCTGAGGCTATGGCAGCCACCTTTAGACCATGAAGCAAGAGAATCGCAGAAAAACTGGCTCTGACATTGCTGAACCACCAAGCAATGCCCACCTCAGGGCCTCTGGTTAGGGAAGAAAAATAAATCCCTATTTGCCTGAGCCACAGCAGTCAGCTCTCCTACTCCTAACAGCCCCACGCACTCCTATGTGACAGATATATTTAATAAATTTAACTTTTGCAACAACTGAATTTAGAGGTGAGGAGCGAAGTCTCATAGCAGTTAAGTAATTTGTATAAGATCATGTGATCCTGAAGCTATTTTTCTTGTCTGAAATGCCCTCCTTGTGGCCTAAATCCAACTCACCTTTCAGCCCCAAGTATAAACGTCTGTGTCGCATTCCCTGATCACCCCAACCCACCAACAGCCAGCTTAAGGTAAGCGTGTGCAGTCTAGATCATCAGTCTAGGAATTATAAGTTATTTGTCTTCTTTTTCTAAGCAGACTGTTAAATGCTTGTGGATGGGCATCATAGCACATCTTATATGCTTACGTTCTTCCTTACACACCTGCTGGCAACAATTTCATTCTGAATTGGATGCCATCAGCTTACTGAGCAACTTTGACCCAGACATTTAACCTCTCTATTCTTGGATCTTCTCACCTGAAAGTCAGAGTACCAGCCTGGCAAGCTTCAGATTTGTAAGACAGAATGAACTTTGCTTAGTATTACAGAGCTAAGAGATAACAAAGAGAGTAGTAGTTCAGATACTATCTAGTAGTATCTAAGGCTGCCGGTGTTTCTAGAACAAACCAGTACAAATCTATCAGCAATGTCTATGACAAAGAGCCTAGTAGGGTAAAGGGCACAAGCATCAAACACTTGCTGTCTTACCCAGCACTCAAGCTTAGACACTCAAACCAGATGGCCCCACCTGGCCCTGAAATGGAAGGGTTGGGGGGGCGGGGGGAAGAATCAATTGGCTCCACAGAGAAAAAAATCACTCTCCAGTCTAATGACGCAGACATGGTACATAAAGAACACCTGAGATGACTCAGAAGAGTAATTTAAATTTCCCCAAGAAAGGCATGAAAGTCCCTTTCTCCTCTGTGGAAGGAGCCAGTTTTTATTTTTGTTTTTTTTAATGACATTCAGGGGGCTTCCAAGCAAGCTGAGTGCTGACAGGGAAGTGCAGAGCCATGGCCACGAGGAAGGTGAGAATGGAGGAGTGGCTTTAAGAGGCACAGATGAGGGGCAGCCAGACTCTATTGGTCCTCAGCTGGGGCTGGGCCTACCGCCACACGCAGCCCTCTGCCTTTCTTCCGAAGGTGAGTGCTGCCCTCCGCTGGCCTGCCCATGGGACATAGCCTGTCCGCGGTAGCAGCCGGTCCTGGAGCCTCCTCAGACCCTGCCCCGGGGCCGTTTCTCCCACAGCTTCACCTCCGGGGCTCTGCTTTCTTTTTGTTGGATTTGACTCACTTTGATAAGTAGAAAGAGCCAAAAAACATTTTTTTCCTTAGTTGGTAAAGAAAGAAAAAGGCTTTACTTTTAAATTTCCTTTTAAAATTTAAAAGGTATACAAGTCAGAATGGTAGAAATTTAAAGTTGAAATCCTAAAAAAAATCATGCAATGCCCACCCGGTTTTAATCTAGTTTGCTGGGTTTTAACCTTCAGCTCCGAACCCAACCCCACCTCTCCCACCTTCCTTCCCAAAGGTGAATCTAAGCTGCTGTCACTCACTCTCAGACATCCCTGCTCGGCGGCTCTGGGGCGGGCACCTCTGCCACCCTGGCCCGTTTGCTGAGCTCTTCACCCGGTGGCTCCTCGGCTGCTTCCAACTTGCGCTTGGGGGACGCTGCGCCACTGGGTAGTGTTCTTGGGCCTGCAGGGAAGCAGGTCCAAGTGTCACACAGACTGTGCAGCAAGCCAAGACGACCTGAAACTGGGCAGTGGCAGCTCCTTAGGGGGCAGGGAGCCTGCCTCGAAGCTATGCCAACATGTTCCTCCTCAGGCCTGCCCCTCAGCCTTCCTTTCAGCAGTGACCTTGCCCAGAAATGGCTAAGGAGAGCACGACCCGGCCTGCTGGCGGTACGGCCAGCTTTGGGGCCCCAAGCCCCACAGGCTCCAGGCCAGAGACGGAGTTGGCGTGTGCGCTGCCCTTGCTCCAGACGTCAGGCATTCCCTCCATGATGCCGGATCGGCCTCCTGAAGCAGCACCCTCGTCTGTGGAGCCAGCCTGGCTGGGCAAACTAGAAAAAGCCCTGGAGTTCTTGCTGGTCTCATCTTACTGATATTTATCCCAGAGCCGAGGAGTGGGGGAGGTTAAGAATTCAGCCCCACCACCGGCCTGTGCTGCCACCTCCTGCCTGGATGACCACGGCTGCCTCCTTTCTAGCCTCTCTGTCCTCGCCCCTGCCCACACTGTCCCCTCCACACAGCAGGCAGAGGGAGCTTTCGACAACCTAGATCAGATCCCCACACCTCCACCCTGCTCACGACCCGGCAGTGCCTTCTCAGGGCACTGACGACAGAATCCTACTCCTCCTCATGGGTGTGGAGCCTGGGGATGCTGCTCTGGCCACAGCTCGTCCTCGTCTCATTCTAGCTCCTCCCTCGAGACATGCCAGCCACACTGGCTCCCTTTCTCTGTTCCTTGCATTAGCTAAGCTCATTCTGTCTCTTGTCTTTTCTTGCTATTCCCTTTGCCTGGAATGCTCTTCTCCCAGTTCTCGGAAAGCCGGGTTCTGCTTGTGACTTGGGTCCCTGCTTAGACTGGTGTTCCCTCACTACTCCAATCTAAAGTACCATCCCCCTTCCCTGGCCTCTCTCATATCAGGTCATTCAATTTTACTTTCCCCAAAAGCACTTTTTATCTGAAATGATCTTGCACGGTTCCTTTACTATTTGTCTCTCCCAAGCGGAATATAAGCTCTATATATGGGGCACAGACTCATTCCAGCCTTTGTCCTCAGCTCTCAATGACTCAAGTGGCAGTAGGTCTGTGGTGTCCTCTGCACGGACATAGGCCACAGGAGGCCAGCTGCTACTCACCTGCACTGCTCATGCTCCCAGTCTGGCCCGAGCTGGGCTCTGCCACCGGGTTGCTGAGGTCTTCCACACAGGAAGGGACGGACGCCAGCAGACCTGGAAGAGAGGCAGGGGAGCAATCAGAATGCCATCTCACAAGACTGCAGAGGGCCACAGGGCAGTTGAAGACAAGATGGGGTGGCGGGGGACAGGGGGTGCTGGGCCATGACTCTGACGTTCCACCTCTTCCCACTGGCCACAATTAAGAGAGGCCTGATCCAGCCCAGCCTGCAGTGCCCTGTGCCGTGGGAAGTCAGGTCAACTTAACAGCTGAGAAGAGAGCACCTGGTCTCCCTTTGCAAATATCTGGAAATCCCCACAGAGCCCGCAGGTACGTCCTTCCCTTCAGTGAGCTGGGGGGTGGGGGATGGGAGTAGTGGCTCCTTACAGAGTCCCCGGTAGCGGGAGAGCTGCTGGTAAATCTGCTTCATTCGCTCAATGTTGAGCCGGCTGGTCTCAGCATGGTTGACGATGGGCCGGGGGTAGTCCACACCAATGATGCACTTGGCTGCCTTCTGAATGGACTCGGGGGCATTCCAGGGCTCATAGATGTATCGAGAGGGGAATCCTTTCAATATGGGCAGGTATCGCCTGAAACACACACGTTGGACAACCGGTCAGCACACGGCGACTCTCCTTCAAAGGGCCACGGGTATCTTATCTTAGGAGCCGGCCCCAGCAGCCAGGAGCCAGAGAGCCTGGACCGCAGCCTCACCTGATGTAGTCTCCGCTGGGGTCTGTGCGGCGGCCGAAGCCCACAGGGCAGTAGCAGTGAAAGAACTGCTGGAAGAAAGCACTGCAGGACAGCCACATCCAGCTGCCTGCATTCACGCTGAAATCCGCATCCAGGAGCAGCTCATCAAATACCTACATGGGGACAGGGTGAGACAGTCAGCCTCGATGGGGACCTACTGCCAGGTGCTCCCCAAGATACCACATGCCCCATGGAGAATAGAGAGCCGAAGCCCTTCTGCTGAGGGCAAGCCAAGAAGGATTTGGAGGGGACCCCCTGGATCCAGGGATCCCACCCCAGGCCTCAGGCCAGAAGAAGGCTGCCCTTGCTGGGCCTGATGAGAGGGTACGGGCTAGCTTCCCCTGAGAGCGCACTCACCCGGACCCCGCTCTCCCAGCTGACCCAGAGGTCCCCGCGGGTGAGGAAACAGGCCACGGCATGCCGGGCCAGATGGTGAATCCAGCCCTCCTGCCTCAGCTGGGTCATGATGGCGTCGATCCAAGGGAAGCCTGTCTTGCCCTCGGCCCACTTGGCCAGGGCTTCGGGGTTGCGGTCCCAGGGGATCTGGATGCAGATGGGGTTCCCTTCCATTCGGTCAAACCTGGGGTTGTTGGTGGCTGCCGTGTAGAAGAACTCTCGCCATAGGAGTTGCCCAAACAGGGAGAGGGGGGGCGTGCTGTTCCGCTTCACCTGGGGGTGGGGGCAGCACACAGATGTAACACTGGCCCAGCTCTCGGCGCCATGTCACTCAGATCTCTCCCACAGAGCAGTCTGGAGCTGCTACGAATGTGGTGGCTCCAAACCCCCTGGACACATGGAGGGGATTATGCCCTAGCAGTGGCCCAGCGTGCCCGCAGACTGAAACCCACAGCACTCCCTGGCTGTGTGCACCGGGAACCAAACTCCATAGGCCTGGCCCATGATCCTCGTCCTCAAGGGTGCCTGCTTGGCTCTACTTTCTAGAGTCAAAGGGAGTTTACCCATCAGCATGCATAAAAAATGCTCAGTTTAGATTCTGGTTAAATAAGTGATTACAACAGCCTGGATCTGGGGCCTTGAGGGAATTAAAAGATCAGACCAGGCCTCCAAGCAAATAATGACTTTCCTGAAATCACAAGATTCCAAACTGGCAAAGCCACCCCATGCCACAAAATCCTGCTACAGGCAAGGACAGGGAAACAGCGTGAAACGACACAGATGTAAGGATGACCTGCTGAATGCGGATAGTTGGATGTGTCGCCCTCTTTCCTTCTGGGGGCAGGTGCACTACCACAGGGTTATTTGCCTGTGGTCCATACAGGACAGCCCTGCATTCAGCCCGGGTCACTTCCCCGTTACTGGTAGGCAGGTTACTGCTCCTGGGCTCCCCCGTTAAATGCTCCGCGCCAGCCCCACAGAGGGCTGCTGTGCTCTTCCGCTTGGGACTGGTTCCAGCCTTGCCCTCCCTGCCTCCCAGCCCGAGTGCTTGCCCGGCAGATCTGCCACCTGGAGGGTCACACCCTGAGGTCAGCTTTTTGGCCTGTCCTGCTCTACTTGATAACCTGGAGTTTATTTAGATGAGCAGTTTGGGTGGCGCTGGGTTCTGCCACCTCTTGGATGTGACTCCTCCCTACCTTCTCTGGACTGTACACAAACATAAGCACCCCCAGAACCCACAACCCGGTCCCCACCACCAGGGCCAGCGGGGAAGGCCTCTTTGCAGGGTGTCTGGCCCGCAACCGGGGGCAGGGCATGTTGCCCTCGCCGCGCCCTCACCTTTTTATACAGGTCCCACAGGCGGTAGTAGAAGAGACGGCTCGAGAGGCAGCCGAAGCGAAGGTAGGGGCTGAGGCCCGTGGGGCTGGCCAGCAGGGAGTTGGCGTTCATTCGGGGTCTCTCATAGTTGGCAACCCAGGCCTGCAGCGGGAAGAGAAGGCGAAGAAAGGAAAGGCCTGGACGTTGCAGAGAACAACCCCAAGGCACTGGCATAGTGCTTTACCTCGCGGCTCACCGTGGCTTCTCCCGTGGGGAGACAATCCTCTGGGCCAGCACTTATCGGTACCTCCTTTCGAAAACGAACCACAAAGCTCAAAGGATTATGTGGCTCTTCTGGGGTTACAGAGGTGCTAAGAGACAGGGCTGGGCGGACTTTGCTTCTAACTCCAGATTCCACCTACAGCTGATAACTGTTTCTACCTCAACTCCTCGCACCCTCTTTTCCTCTTCGTGATGCCTCTTTCACAAACTTTACACCCTCTGCAGACCTCCTCCTCCACACTTCCCCACCACCCCTCAGCAGATGACTTCCCTTCCTTACTGTAAGGAAATGCAAGCCTTCGGCTGAAAAACTCCTCAACTCTTAGCCACCAAATCTACAAACTCACCTGGGTCCACACCTCCCCATCTCCTCCCCACCGCCTCTCTGGTGACTCTGCCCAAGGCCAAGGTCTCCCCTGGCTCTGGAGCTCTCCCCTCTTCCTTCCACTGCACCTTCCATCTCTCCCTCTCCAGTTTCCACTCCAAGAACGTTGGGAAAATCATCTCATTTCTTTGCAAAGAAAAAAAAAAAAAAGAACCTCTAGGAAGCCTGTGGACCTCTATCCTGTCCACTTTCTTCTCTCCACAGCCCATGTCCCATAGCCACCTGCACTTCTTGGCCCACCCCAGCATGGCTTCTGCCTTTACTGCTGCCTCCAAGCTGGCTCCCACAGAGTGCCTGTGATCTCCGCGCCACTGAGTCCTGCAGGTGCTTGCCTACCATATTTTCGGACCTCTCAGCATACCTCACCCTGCTCAAGTCTCCACACCCTCTGTTCCCTTCGCTTCTGGACTCCACACACTCCTGGCTGCCTCCCACGTGGCTGGCTGCCTCCCCTCCCAATCTCTTCAATGTTGGCATCTCAGGGCTCTGTGCTGGGCCCCTACTCAACTGTGTTCCTGGGGAAGCACGTCCAGTCCCATGGCTCCCAATGCCACCTCTGTGAGGATGATCGACACGTTGGTGGCTCCAGCTCAGACTGCTTAGCTACTGCTTAGCTAGACTCCCAGATCACTCCATCCAACTCCCTGCCAGGATCTCTACCTGATTGCTATCCAGGCCCCTCAAAGTGTAACAGCTCTTTTCTCCAGACCACCCTTCCATGGGCATTTCTAGCTCAGAAAGCGCACAGTCATCTACCTGGGTGCCCAAGCCAGAGGCCTGGCCATCACCTTTGACTTCCTTGTCACCAAGTCCTGTCAATTCTACTGTTCAAATACTCCTCAAATCTGTCCTTTTCTTTCCCTCTTGCTACCAACCTGGTTCAGGCTAAGATGTAGACTAGACAACTGTGACAGCCTCCCAACTGACCTCCCTGCATCTCTTCTCATCCCCCCTCTAATTCCATCTCCACAGTGGGAGCAGAGCAATGGCTTAAGAACACCATCCTGCAGGAACAAACATGCACTGGGATTCCTGTTGCTGTTAGGATAAAGTCCCAATCTTAAACATGGCTTACAAGCACCCCACTGTCTGGACGAGCCTGTCTTTCTTAAGCTTCATCTCTCGCCACTCTCTTATAAGCACCACACTCTTGCGGGCCTTTGCACACGCGGCTCCCTTGGCCTGGAATGCTGTCCCGCTTTTCACTCACTTTCCCTTGGTTAACTCTGACTTTTCCTTCAAGTCTCAACCTAACAGTCACCTCCTCTGCAGGTAACCCCTCAGGTATTAGGTTAAGTGTCTCTGACAAACATTAGGTATATTTGCCTGCTCACGCCCTTACGCACCTCCCTCTGAAAGCCTTTTTATTTTAAGTGAAGTACAGATACGGAAGTAACACCGGTGTGTGGCTTAATGAATTACTCTAAGGCAAACACTCATGCAACAATCACCAAAGTTCAAGAACCGGAACTTTGCTGGCCACCCCAGAAACCCTAGTCACAGTCCCTTCCTGGCCCCACAAGTGACCACTCACCGAACTTTTATAATAATCACTTCCTTGCATTTAAAAATGTTGATGTTTTCCTATTTTTGCAAAGCATATTTGGGAGGGAGGGCTTTATCTTTTTAGTTATTCCTTGCATTTTTTAGAGGGGGGAGGAGCAGAGGGAGAGGGAGAATTTTAAGCAGGCTCCATGCCCTGCAAGGAGCCTGACTTGGGGCTCAATCTCAAGACCCCAAGATCATGACCTGAGCCAAAATCAAGAGTTGGACACTTAACCGACTGAGCCACCCAGGTGCTCCTATTCCTTGCATTTTTAAGTGGGTTTTTTTCCAACCACATGTGCATCCCTAGGCACTATAGTTTAGCCCTGGCCATTTATAGGGCTTTGATGTGTTATTTAAGTTTCTTTTAATCTATGTATCTCCAGTCATTTCTTTCTTTCCCTTGCTTTGTGGAAGAATCCAGGCCATTTGACTTGTACTGATTCTCACAGTCTGCATTTTGCTGATTGCACACTGATGGTATACTGCCTGCAAATTGGTGGCTGGGACCAGAGACAGGATTGGACTCAGGTTTGATTTCTTTGGCAAGACTATGGGGGGACAGAATGCCTGCTTAGCTCTCTTCATGGAGTTAGCAGTCATTAACATACAACGTGTCATCATTGAAGGCTACAAAATGCTGGTATTCTAATTCTATCATTCCGTTTTCATTTAAAAATGGGGATACTTTTTTTTTTTTTTAAGATTTTATTTATTTATTTGACAGAGAGAGACATAGTGAGAGCAGGAACACAAGCAGAGGGAGTGGGAGAGGGAGAAGCAGGCTTCCTGCGGAGCGGGGAGCCCGATGCGGGACTCGATCCCAGGACCCTGGGATCATGACCTGAGCTGAAGGCAGACACTTAACCATCTGAGCCACCCAGGCGCCCCAAAAATGGGGATACTTTTAAAAAGAGATGCTTGCCCTCATCTACTATTTTGGGCAACCCAGTAGTAAAGATCATATGGAGTCTCCCCTTTTTGGTGACAGCACCTAATTTTCTTGTGGTGATCCAGCCTTCCCTAATCTCAGTCCAAGTGGGTGAAGTGCAGCTAAGCTCACCTCTGACTCTGGGAGTAGGCTCAGGGTGCAAGTCTGACCAGGGAGAGCACCCCTTCCTTGGCCATGATGACTGAGTCAGGGACTGTCGCATGACCCAAGCCAGGCCAATGAAAACACTCCTCGGGACTTTTCCTGGAGGTTTTGGAAAGAGGCATACCACACTTCCGCTGGTGTGCTAAGCAGATTGAAAATAAGCTGCTGGTGACCACTTTGCCACTGTTTAAGGAAAGCCTACCCGAGAATGAACTAACAGAGACAAAAGCCGAGCTCAGAGATGGAGAATGTATTCCCGGTAGCATTATTTGGACATCTGAGTCCAGCTGTGCCTAAAGGCTACACCTTAGACTCTTAGTTACATGAGCTCAAAAACTTTTCAAAAGTTTTGAAAAGGTACTTTTTCAAAAGCCAGCTTGCAAATACGAACTGATTAATGAAAAAAAACTCTCTTGCTCTTTGCTCTCCTAACCCTTTGAACCACTCCTTTCCTGACCCACAGTACATTGTAATTTCTTGTTTCATGTCTGTCATCTGCAATAAACTACTCTCCTGGAGACAAACTCCATACTTGCCTCATTGGGCAGTCTTTCCAGCAGCTAAGCCATCTTGACATGAGTAGACAGATGCTCACTTCAGTGTTAGAAAATGGAAGACTGAAATAAACCTCCTCAGAGCAGGTTACACTCCTGCTCACAGGCCCCTTTTCCTCTCCCAGTCGTAGGACACAACGTTCCCGTTGGCCACCAGGGAGTCTGAAGGATCCTGACACAAGGCCCTATGACAGACCAGACCCAGGGATATGTGGAAAAGGACCCCGTGACTTGGTGATAGAAGGGGCAGCCCTCCACAAAGTGCTTTTAAGGTGATGATAATCCACAAGGCTAGAAGTTAGCTCTTTATACTTGTCAGTCTTATTCTACTCCTGCCATCCTGTTTGTCACCTCCACCACTCTGCCCCCTTGGCCTGGCCTGTGTCCCCAAACTGATCCCAAGAATCTCTGGGTAAAGCTCCTGATGTGGACAAGGACAGCTGGTCCTCCCCAAAGCCCTTGGACATCAGTCTCATCCTTTTCAGTTGGTGGGGCTGGCTGAAGGTAACACCCAGATAGGCCTATGGGTCTAAGGGAGGTGGGATCTGACGCACATTTTCATTGCTGGTGAGGCACCTCCAGGGCTGGGAAGCATTTTTCCTATGTAGGTCTGCCTATTTTTCCTTGTTCCATAGTTATCACCTGGCTGCTGGGCCAAATGCTTACTTATCTGAGAATACAAAAGGTTGTGAACCGGTCTACAAACCAGCAACACCGGGCAGAAAACCAGCAACTGACTCAGTCACGAGAACCTTCTCTGCTCCTCTAGCCCCAGGGTCATGGAAGCCATGTGACATTGTTAAGGAGTGCCTTTGGGGCCTCCGCCTCTTCCCTTCCCCTTGCCAATCCCCACTTCACTGGGAGTGGCTATTTGTTCTCTGTGTCCAAACAAATGGAAATCAATGCCTTGGAGGGGACCCAGCAAAAGGTGAGGAGGGGACACATAAACACAAAGAAATTAATCTTATGGACTTCATTAACCAGATACCCTCTCAGTAAGGGGAACCTGCATAGAGATGAAAGAAAAGCAATCTAGGGTAAGTTCTGGAATCACACAGAACGAGATCTAAGTCTACTATTTCCTAACTGTGTGACCTCAGGCAAGTTACTTATCCTCTCTAAACCTTAATTTCCTCATCTGTCAAATGGAGGGCTTAACACCTACCTGGTAGGGATATTGCAAAGACGACAGGAAATCGTGCAAGTAGGTACTTTACCCAGGGACCAACATGTGGTAAGCACTCACTAAACGGCAGCTACTATTACTGCTGTTACTGCCGCCAGGAAGGTTCTTCACTTTCAAGCACTTTGAGCTAAGAGGCACTAAAAGCCATGAAGCTGACCCTCACATCCCCTGCCACCTGGGCGCTAGCACCCGAAGTTCTGTGTCCCAGAAGTGGTGGCCATACCTTCCGTTCCAAATGCTTATCCAGGCGGGCCAGAGCTTCTGTCTCTCCTCCTTGCCAAACAGCTGGGCCCAGTCCTTCGGTAGGGAACCCTACGCGAGAAGGAAGAGAAGGTCACAGGACCAGAGGTCAGGCCATTTCAGTGATAGCTCAGCAAGTCTTGACACATCGGTATGTTCTTTGAGCTTCCTGGGAACTGAACCGTGTGTTCTTGGTGCTGCTGGAGCTGAGGTCATCGTAACATTTCAGCGTTTGCCAGGTCATTCCAGTTCTCTTTCCGTCGTGACTTTTTTTCTGTCCTCTCCCTTGCCTTCCCTAACCCTGCCACTCCTCATTCCAGGCACACGAGAACAATCCTGTCCTGCCCACCCTATCGGGTTGGCTGGCAATGATTGCTGTTTTCAGGTGAGAAAGGCTAACTTTATTCAGATCAAAAAATGGGGGGTGGGGAGGAAGGGGAGAAAGGGTTCAGTCAGTAACCTGAGGGGCTGACAGACCCCCTCTCAGTGGAAGCAACACTAGTTAACTTGGTATTGAGGAGCCCATTGATGCCAGCACTATGCTGGGCCTGTATCTTCTGAGAGAGAAAAGTACAAAAACAGGAGCAGGAATTAGAAACATAACATTATGTACATGAGCAGGAACAGAAAAGAGACTGGGAAGACATGCTCCAAAATAAGTAGTGGCTATCTCTGGGTGGTGGGGTCATAGTTATTGTTATTCCCATTCTGGTTTCACTGTATCTTCAACACCGGGTATAATAACATGCATCACTTTGACAAAGCAGAAAAAACCTGGTCAGTTATTTTACAAAAAAGGGGGCTCTGGGCAGGAAGTACGCACCCAGCTCCTCGAGGGAGGGCACGCCATAGGTGTCATCGTGGTTCTCCTGGATGTCGGCCCTGCAGCTCTCCATCTGCTGGCTCGTCACGGAGCCCACGGGCTTCTTGGGCAGCTCCATGCGGCTGATGATGGCCTGAAAGCGCTTGTAGGTAAGGGGCGGCTTCTGCCCATTCAGCTCAATAATCCTGGGAATCCCAAAGCACACCTAACGTCATGCACGAGGCCCTTCATTTCAGGTCCCTGCCCGCCCAGAAAAGAGCCCAAACTTTGAAGGCTTGGAGGGTGGCTTTCCTCCTCCACTCACGGGTCCCACCCCTAAGTGGAAACGAAGGGGCAAGGGAGGCTACATCTCCATTTTACCGAGAGGGAAAATGAAGCCCAGGGAGCTGGAGCAGGTGCCTTGGGTAATGGAGCAAGGCAGGGCCAAAGCTGGGACTCAATTCCAGGTTCCCTGGTGTCGACGTGGAGCCTCCTCAAGACAGAGACTGACCATATCTCTCTAATCACAGAAAAATCCCCACTAGCCTTCTTGGTACTCAGCCTGTGTGTCCAAGTCATGGGAATCCCCATGGCGCCTTCCTCTCTATCCCAGCGTAAGCCTTCAGGAAGTTCTTTGATAAGAACTGCAAGCAAGTTCCCTTGTTGAAAAATCATTGCCTTCTTGGCCCCAATTTATTAGAACAGAGAGGTGGAGAACAGCCTATCCTTCCTAGATCAGAGACTGGGACTGGGATTAATAGCAACAACTACTTAAAGGGTGTTTGGCAGCTTACAAAATCTGCTTTCATGATCAAGGGAAACAGAGCCGCATTCAGGTAAGAAAAGAAGATACAGGACTGAGGAGGAGAATCGAGGCCGTTTCTATAGAATGCCTTGGGGTGGTCTGGAGCCAGATTCCCAGGGCTTTTCCTGTTGGCCGAGCGGCAGCTTACGCAAGACCTGGCTGGCTGGGTGAGTTCACTGTGGGGATATAAGGTTGGCTGCAGCCCCTGCAGTACCTCCCCCGTCCTCTGGCACGCGGCAGGAGGAGGAGCTCCACACCCAGCAGCTCCTCCGGAGAACTAGCTCACGTGCAGAAACGTGTGACCTGGCCTCCTGGCAGCCACCACTGGGTCTGGGAGAGGGGGGCAGGGAACAGTGACGGCTGCCGACTTGGCAGCAACAGCAGCAGGAGGGTGACAGCTCTGCCAGGGAAGGGGAGGAGAGGGTTTCCTCCTAGACGCTCTGAAAGCAGAGGCCTGTCCCTAGGGAAGGAGGCTACTCTGTAGTGATGGGCCCCCTGCAGGGAGCTCTAGAGCCTCCTGCACAACATCTAAATGCATGGCCTGGAAACCCAGATAGGCAGAGGAGCCCAGGGAACCCGTATTAGGTACAGAAACAGGACCTATGAGAACAGAGCTCTGTCGGGAAGGGCATAACAGGCAGGGTCCACTGAGGTCAGAAGACAGCCTTTCAGGAGCAGGACAGAAGTGGAAGCATGAGGAGGGGATAGGACAGCAGATCCTAATCTAATCTGCTCCTAAGCAGATCTATGAAGATCTTGCATGGGGATCCTCACTGTTCTCACCCCTCGGCCCTAGTAAGCCTCTTTGCACCCAAATTGGGTAAAGCTCTTTGTGATCTGTTCCACAGGCCCCAACTCTGGCCCATTCCCCTCCAGCTTCTAGAAAATGCCATACTTCATGTGCCAGGTGGCTCTATTGGTAAATCTCCCAAAGTTCTGCTCAGCAGGGGCCCAAACCACCAACTCCCACAATTGACAACCTGACCCCTGGGACCCATGTCTTACTTGTCCAGGTCATAGAGAGTATGAGAGTTCTCAGTCACCACCTCCACACCGGCCTCCTTGGCCATCTTCATGATGGCTGCATCCCGTTCTTTCCCAAAGGGTTCGGAGTCATATTCAAAGGTCAAGCGGGTCACCCCCCATTCCTGGGGGGAGAGAATCTGTTATGCTAAGCACTGTTTGGGGAGAAGAATGCAGCTGAGGACTCAGCTCCTTCCTAGGAAGAGACGAGTCTAGAGACCTGTCAGAATGGGCTGCAGAACAAACTAGGGACAAAGATTTGAACTGGAAAGCAAACAATCTGAGGTTCCCAAGGGTTGAGGAATGCAGGCCTTTGAGGTGAGGCCACCAGCATGGCAACAGTGGAGCCCGAGGCTAGTGGAATTAAGAGAAAGGTGGGTAGCCCTGTACATTTGCTGTGTCCTGGGGTAGGAGAATGCAGCAGGAGGCTATAAATACAATGCTCCGAGGGGAGCCCCTAGTCCCAGAAAGAAGCACTGACTCACTGGTGCAGACAGTGGGGGAAATGATCACTGCCTCCCTCCTGCCCAGCATGCCTTTCCCAGAGCTCCTCAGAGCCCTACAAACTTCTGGCTTAGTTTTCTTGGCAGACTTGCGCTATGTGAAGTGTCCTAATGGTTTCCACAGCAACACTCCTGAGGCCAGTAGCAAACAGAGCTAATAGGCTCTAGCTCTCAGAAAAGCTGGGGAAGGAGGAGCAATCCTTAGTCCAGAGGTCGGAGAAATCAGACCAGAAGGGCCACATGTTAAAAAAGAAGGGAATTCTTTTCCAAGCCTTTAGTCTTTTCTAGTAGAATTTTCTAGATTTCCTTGCAATGCTGGGAGAAAGCTGGCCCAGTAAAAGGTTGTACAGATAACCCACAGAAAGCCCTAGAACATGACTAGCAAAAAGAAAACCGCATTCCAACCAAAGTCTCTGGTCATAGCCCCTTAATACTCTAAACACCTAGGGCAAATGTCCTGGTCATGCGGGACCTAATTCAGTCCTGCCTGTGGTGTGGGTCCTGAGCAGGGCTGGCTATCCCTCATCCAGGATAACGGGACTAAATATTTATTGAGCCCTTACTACGAGCCAGGTACCATGCTTAGCAATTCATATAAATGACATTAACTTGGTGAATAATAAAAAAAATATTATTAGATGCCACTTTCTCCAAGAAGCTTTCCTTGACCTTCTCTTTCAGCAGGATTTTTTCCTGCACGTTGCCCTTTTCCCATCACAGCATTTATCATATGGCAGTGAAGTTGCCCATTACTTGCCTGTTTCCCCCATTAAGAGCGTGAGCTCTCAGAGCAGAAACCATGCTGTCTCATCATTATCCTAGTACCTCACTGGGGGCCTAGGACATAGTAGAAGCTCAATAAATATACGGTAGTCGCCTCCTGTCTGCAGGGATGTGTTCCAAGACCACCAGTGGATGCCTGCAACTGCAGATAGTACTGAACCCTACACAGAGTGCTCTGGTTTTTCCTACACATACTTACTTAGGATAAAGTTTAATTTATAAGTTAGGCACAACAAATTAACAAGAGTAACTACTAATAGAATAGAACAACTATAAAATATATTGTAATAAAAGTTACGTGAAAGTGGTTCTCGGTCGTAAAACACCCCTTGCCGTACCTTACACTGCACTGTCCCTTCTTCCTGTGATAACGTGAGACGATATAATGCCTACGTGAGGAGGTGAGTGAGGGGACGGACGCAGGTGTTGCGATGTGGTGCTGAGCTACCCGATGACCTACTGACTCTCTGTCAGAAGGAGGATCATCTGCTTCCAGGCTACGGTTGACAGCAGGTGACGGATAAGGGGAGAGGGGGACTATTATATGCTAAAGGACTGACTGACTGATCTCTCTGTACCTCTGGGCCTTTGCTGGGTTGGCCTCTGAGGTGCTAGGGGGAGAGAGGGGAGACAATGCAGAGGAGGAGTAGAGGCCACTGTGTTTTGCGGTATGCTGGTTAAGGACACAAATCTGGAGCCAGAGAGCCGGGGCTCAAATCTTTGATCATCACCTCTCGGCTTCACAACCACGAAGTTATTGTTCCCTCATCTAGAACAGGGATAGCAGCACATACCTCTGGGGCTGCTATGAAAATTAATATATGTAAAGCATTTACCTAGAAGGGCTCTTGACTCCTACTCTGTCCTCAGTGAACATCGGCTATTTCCAGCACGGTGTGATTTATATGTGTGTGTCTGTGTGGGGGTGTGGGGAGGTGAAGTGAATGATGAGTGAATGATGAGGTATTTCCTAAGCTGCTTGCCTTGACAGCAGACCTTTCCTCTGGTCTTCCCCCCGTGGAAGGGTAGGGAAGGGAGTTGGGGTGGAAGGGGCTATGAAAATGACCCTGCACTGCTGAGGATGAGGAGAGACTGTCCTAGAGCCCTCTGTCCACGAGTAGTTCTGCTTTATAAAGAAAGGGGTTGGAGCGGGGGCGGGGGAGCTGGCTACCTGATAGAATAGACAGAGGCCTACATAGTACCCAAGTGAAGATTTTATCAACCATTTGCCCCGGGAGAACGGAGCTCCCTCAAAAAGGCTGATTTTTTCCCCAATAAACAGCACATCGCAAGACAGGAAACGCCCCGTGCTAAAAAGGAAAACTTGTCCTCAAACTCCTGGCATAGGAAGAGCCCTAATAAATCTTGTTGGCTGGAGCCAAGGAAACATCTGAGGAAGCCAATGGCATGCAGGGTGGGATAACTTGCCACATCCCTTGTCTGGACTGAGCTGGGAACTTTCCAACAAGACACTGGTTTCACAGACTTTTTTCCTTAACACAGTTTCCATTCTGTCGGCAAACTGATCGGCTTTGCTCCCAACTCCTCTACAGACCAGCACTGACAGGTTCCCGTTTCTGAGTCAGAATATCACCTCATTCAGTCTGCGGGGAAAGTCTAGAGAACAGAATCTCCCTGTCTTCTCTAGGAGTCTGCACACTTACCTTGAATAATCTTGGGAATACGTCAGCGGGCTGTCCCCGGACTACAAACAGGCGAGAGTTCAGTTTCCTTAAGCTTGTATCCAAATCTTCCAGAGACTGAAGTAGGAACCTGCAGAGCCCACACAGGCCTTTGAGGGGTAACGTTACGAAAGAGGCACTCTTCTTCCTGACAAAGCAGGGAGATGCTGGGACCCCATTAGTACTCCACTCCGGCCAGGATGTGGTGGCGCATGAGCACACCCTCCGCTGAAATCCTGACTTGGCCACTTCCTAGCTGTGTGGCTTTAGGCAGTTACTTAACCTGTTCAGTTTTTTTTTCTTTCTGATCTGTAACATGGAGTTGATGTTAGTACCTAGCTCCTAGAACTGCTAAGAAAAGAAAGTCAAATGATGCATGAAAAACATTTAGTACAGGGTCTGACATACAGAAAACCTGGAACAAATGTGAGCTGCTCCTGGGCGCCTGGGTGGCTCAGTCGGTTAAGCGACTGCCTTTGGCTCAGGTTATGACCCCAGGGTCCCGGGATCGAGTCCCGTGTCGGGCTCCCGGCTCGGCGGGGAGCCTGCTTTTCCCTCTGACCCTCTCCCCTCTCATGCTGTTTCTCA